TATTTTAAAATATGTCTACACTAAAATACAATATGTAAATTTAATAATAAATAATTTATCGAATAGGGTTATTAAGAGGGATTATACAAAATACATTATACATAAATTTAGATTTAGTCTACCAGAAAGTTTGGCCTAGTTCATCGTTCGTGATATTATAATAGTTCGACAATTATTATTAAATGTACGAACAGTTTGTTTAATACCGAAAATAAATACTAATATTTTAACCAAAATCCACACAATGTCATGATTAATACAAATATTAATATATAATATTTATATAATTATTAGGATGTGCATTTATATATCAAATATTATTATACTATTTTATTATATTTATTTTAATTATACGATTTCAAAATGTTAAACTGTACGACGTATCTTATAAATGCTGTTATAATTTTATTGATATACATAAATAATAGAATGTCTTGTAACTGTTGTTTTGTATATTAAGATAATAATAGTTGAACTTCAAAAAGTAATTCATATTAAAATTTGAATATTTAATCTTTAGATTTATTTTGATAAACCGTACACCTAAAACATATTTACTAAGGTAAAACTAAAAATGCTTCATGACTCATTTTAACGACCCAATTCAGCATACCTCAACCTGAATATAAAACTTAATAGTAACCCATTTATATTTTAGATTAAGACCTAAATTATAGTGAAATATCATCTTATTCAATATTAAAAATAATCTTAGCTATAATAATGTGAGGCACAGTTTAAAAAAAGCAGTTTTGGAAAAATAATAAATATTTATTTTTCAAATATCAAAATAGTATACGCTTTGCTGTGCAGTCATTGTGATAATGGTCAAACAAATTTCTATTAAAGCGTGTGAAACAATTACACTGGGCTAGATATCTGAGTATGATCAAATTTAATAAATAAAAATATATAAATATTAAAAATGTTACTAAAAAAATGTATGAGACGGGGGCTAAACAAAATTTGAGGATATAGCCTTCTTAGACCCCCCCCCTCACCATTTAAAGCATATGAGTATTATATGAGATATAAGCACCAACCATATAAGAATATATTGCTTAATTGTTACAAAAATAGTGTAATATAAAATTGTACATGATTTAATATATGAGTTAGGGAAGAGGACTTTAGCTCTAAAAAAGCACTAAAAAACCTATGATATGAACTAAAAATTTTTTTTCTTGCAATTTAATTTAAATTTAAATTTAAAATAACAATAACCTGCATTATTTAATTATATGCCATTTCACGAGTATGTGAATAAAACACTTTTTTAATCTTAAAACTACATAAATAAAATAAATCACTAACAGAACGTGTAGTACCTATACCATTTAGAAACACGCTTAACGTGAAATTGGTATCGAGTATCGTTAATATTTTGTACCTTGACAATTAAATATCTATAAATAAAATTAATAAATGGAAAATCGATCTAATTGGTCAGCCTTCTGCGTCTCTAAGAAATCCGTACATCCACGAATAGTCAGCAACCATATTATATTATGATAAAAATAGAAAATAAATTTAAACAAAAATATTCTAACAAATATAATACTCAATATAGATATTAATATTATTAGTATTTATAAATTGCTTATTTTCGTATGATGCATTTCTATTTAAAATGTATATTTTAATTAAAGAGATACATACCTCCATAATAATGATATAGTAAATACAATTTGGTTTTTTTTTATGTGATCTTATACTTTTATTTTAATTAATTATTATATTTTAAATTTAACTAATTATGATGATTTTTTTTTATGTAATTTATAGATTCAATCATTAACTTATACTTATCAACCTATTCATAATAAGCTAGATTGGCACATGCCCGATGCACACAGTTTCTACTAACTGATTTTTAACAATTTAACTCCAAGTTTAATATTTTTAAGCCGGCGCATTGAATAGGCAATTTCGCTACTTATATGAGTATAATAATATTTATTTATTTACCTATGTATTATAGATTCACAGGACAAGCCCTTTGTATACATTATAAAGCATACAACTAAAATGTATACAAAATAATTTTAAATTAACTCAATTACCGTGAAGTTTCACTAATTGATAGATTCTTCCTGTAAGACCATACATCATTAAGTACTACCTTATATCACTTATGTTTTATACGTATTGTATATAAATAATTACAAATCGTATAATAAATAAAATAACACAGTTAGCAATTAAAAAAAGATAAAATGTAATTAAAAATATGAATATGATTATTATACTATTATTTTGTACAGTATTTGCGAAAATCATTAAGAAAACGCTACCCATGCATTTGTTGTCTCCGTTTATTCACGCATGGCATACCAAATTTCCGTTCACTATTTTCAATAGTGTATTGTTAGTTTTAATATTAGAGTGCAATTCACCTGTTATCATACATTTAGATGAGAATATTATCTGTGCTTAAGCATTGGCGATTTTCCAATATTTTCATTTTCAAGTAAGATATGTGTAGGTGAAATATCAAAATTTAAAAATGATCATATCTCGCTTGAAAATTAAAATATCGAATAAAAGCCAAGGCTTGTTGTTGCCTATATTACAATAGGTCAATTCACTCTAATATCAAAAATAACAGCATACTAATGAAACTAGTGTACGAAAATTTGCTATGTCCTAAGTGTGTAAGACGGAAACAACAAATGCATGGGTAGCGTCCTCTTAAATAATAATATAAAAAACTAATTTAAATATTAATCATGGTTTTAACATGTATCAACAATCGATATTTAAGTAGTTAGATTCAATTATAAGGTATTTCATAGTAAATATTCAGTAAAATTAAAGTTTATTTATATAAAAATATTAGTATATTAATATAATTTTTATTTTATTTTTATAAACCTTATAAACAACATTGCAATTTTTATCGTTATAAATATGTTTTATAGTATTATATAATATAAAATTATGAAATATAACTGTCATTTTTTTTTTAAACTCAACCCATGTATGCACGTTACACAAATATAGGTACATAAGTGAACATACTCTATTTTTTTTTTTTTCATTTGAGGATTATTGTGAGTATGAAAAATTAACAAATATCCAAGCACCCCAAAGCAAACATAAAAGAGGTAAAATATATGTAAAAAAAATGGTACTTAATTATAAAAACATTCAGTCAAATAAATGTCTGAAATAAATCATAAATCTAATAGAAAACTCTGGAAAAATTACTACATTTTCGTACACGTAAATGCATTTTATTTATTTAATAATCAGATCATTTATGAAGTCGATGGAATATCTTTACCAACAAACAAATATAATATAACATAATAAATTAACCAAATCAATTATATGCTATTTTATATTCAAATAATAAGTGTCAATTGTATTACTACATTCATAATTTATTTTTGTAATACATATTACGATAATGAATACCTACTTAATAAAGTGTTATAAATGGGATTGTACATTATCTAAATTGTAAAGTATTATTCTTGAACCATAAATGTAATTTTTAGTATAGACTTAAATTTTGTATTCAAATTAATAAGTGGTAGGTATGCCTAAAGTTCATAATTATTTATTAACTATTTTATGTTATAAATTTAAATTTCTTATATTATTTCCCTAAACGTTTACAGCTAAAAATACTACCATAAAAATGTATATGTACTCAAATGTATTTACTGTTCAAGTAATGATTTTTGATGGTATCTTCCAATATCTTTATTAGATCATATTCCAAGAAATAAAGCATTCAATAAAATGAAATATATATGTTACGGTTTCATATTAGATTAAGTTTTCTTTTCTTCTTTTTATTTTTATAAAAATGGTTTTTGAAATTGAAAAGAATAACCTATAAAATTATGGCCTTAGGTAGAATGTATTGTTCGAAATTACAAGTATAGTGCAATAAAAAAAAAATATACCATGTTAATATTGATGTTGAAAAATTGTATTCGTCAATTTCTATATAAATCTTTTCAGAGTAGTAACAATAGTACTAATAAGCAATAACTATGGAAAATATTACCAGTAATTAATTTATGAATATAAAATTAGATTTCAAACATTTATTATATAAAAAAAGTACACGGTACTACCCAACTAGGTACTAACTGACATACATATCTGTATCAACACTTAAATTCATGTAACTTATCTTTAAACCTTGACACCTTGTTGAACCTATAAAATATTAACATAAATTAGTCTTATAAATTGGCAATCGAAAATGTGAAAGTACGTGTTAAGAAGGAAGAAATACAAAACTTTTTTTTAATTTAGGTAAACCAAAAAACAACAATTTAATGAATTTGGTTTATAATTGTTATAAATATTAATTAAAAACATACTGACGAAGAAAACATGATGAGAGTTTTCAAGAAATACGGCTCACAGTTATGATCTCTCAGTGGCATAATCTAACTTTGGAAAATATGTGTCTAGCTAATAATCAATACGAATTCGATGTTTGAATAAATATCTACTAAAATTTGAATCAGTCAGAGCTACAGATTATGTTTATACTTCATATTATCAAATTGTTATCATTTCTAAATCGAAATTAGTTTAAATTAATAAAACTGATGATACATTTAGGATCATTCGTTGATTGTTTAACTTTTTCTGTACTTATGGAATTATCGTATTTATTTAAATTTAAATCATTTTAGATTTTTTTTGTGTTTTATAAGAATTATATTTTAATATTTTATACGTAGGAACTATTGTGGTTACAAGGAAATTTAATTAATATTTGTGTAATAAAATATAGTTTTGCAAAGATGCTTCAATATTAATTTCAATTTATTGGATTTCTTGACTATTTTCTCTCTCAAAAATAATAATAAATATATTGTTTCAGTTCGCGTGTTCAGCTCAACCGAGACGGTCGCACATAGCAAAGTTCAATCGCACATCGACAACGTCTTCGACGGCTCAACTCGTATACAAGCAAACAAATACAAGGTTAGTGAACCACTTATAATGTAAATCACACCTAACCTACAATGAGCATCAATACTAAATCGCCCTTAAAAAAGGGCCAAAACAATTTCTTTACCACTAAAGCACCAAATAATCTACATCTTAACAACAAAATAATCAAAACACCTAATAATAATTCAAAGATCGCACCCCAAATCACAAATCCCAAAACCAACTCAACTTCACAGCTCAAAAATATTCCAAATCAAATCACACCAAATCAATCACCTCCAAACCCTAAAACCAACGAAAACCAAATCTCATTCGCCAATGCAGCAGCCAAAACTCGAAACCCAAAAAAAGAACAAGCAATAATCATTGAAATAACTGACGATATTCAGCAACATGAATATGTTTATGCAATAGCAGAAATAACTAAACCAGAAAACATAATATTCATGTCACGCATATCCAAAGATAGATTCTGCATATTCTTATCATCAGTAGAACAGGTTGACCGCGTCGTTAATCATCCAACACCAATAACAATCAAAGAAAAACCAATTAAAATCAGAAAATACTTTAACCCCGATAAAAGAATAATCATATCTAACGTATGCCCAACAATCCCAAACGAAACGATTCTAAGCGAACTCAACAACATTGGTATAACCCCCACCAGCCAAATAATTCACCTCAGAGCCGGTGTTAAAAAAGAAGGTTTCGCACACATATTAAGCTTCCGAAGACAAATGTTCATATCCGCAGAAACCACCATAAATATTCCGAATTCGCTACTAATCAACCACGAAGGATCAAATCACAGAATTTTTTTCTCAGACGACTCACTAACCTGCTACAAATGTAAAAAAATTGGTCACACTTCCGCCAGCTGCAATGAGTTCATAGAAACAACCATACAAAATCAGAATAATTTAGAAAAAATAAGCGACGCTCTCACCACGCAACAACAACACACAATAACAACCCCCCAAACAAGCATGTCACAAATAGAACACCCTATAGTGAACCCAATTAAAAATACTGAAGCGAATACCACCGATAACATGGAAACCGACCTCATATCATTCACCGATAACAAAAGGCCCGCGCCCTCCTCTCCAACGACGTCCCGAAACTCCGAGGAAGCCATAATAATCGACAACGAACAAAACTTAATTGCTACCAAAATCCACAAAGATCTCACCATAAAAAAAGCCAAAATAATACGACCCAACACGCAAGCAACCATCGAGTTTGATACAATATTAGAACCAGCAAAACAAATTTTTACCAACAACGCCAGCAATTTATCAATCAGTTTCACACAATTCAAAGCCATAATAGAAAACGCTCTAACCTGCAGCGACAAACAAGAATTATGCGACAACTACAATATCGAACCCAACCACCTAATCAGAATCATCGAACTCGTTTACCCAGCTATCAACAGCAAAGCAATTAAAAACCGCTTAACACGATTGTCAAATGCACTTTTTGAATTAGACGTACCTACATATGAAGATAACAACTAATTAGAACATCAACAATAATAAGCTCACACAATCAAGATAAATACCCATTCAACCCATAATGATATCACAAAACTTTAATTTATTACAATGGAATCTTAATGGATTCTATAAAAAATACAACGAATTACAACTAATCATTCAAAAACACAACCCAATGTTATTATGCTTACAAGAAACCAATTTCAACGACAATTCAATAGGAAACATTCCATCATACACAGGATACCATAAAAATCGTACAAATGCACTCCGTTCCAGCGGCGGCGTAGCTATCTACATTTCTGACACTCTATACAGTACACAAATAGACCTAATTACCAACCTAGAAGCAATCGCGATAACAATACACGGAAAAGAAATAATTACCGTATGCAATTTATACCTACCAAACCAAACAAACTTTAGCGATAACGATCTTGTACAAATAATTAATCAATTACCCACACCATTTATAATCACCGGAGATTTTAACAGTCACAACGAATTATGGGGATCATTAACAACCGATAAACGCGGCACAACAATAGGAAAAATACTAAAATACGACAACCTAACCCTTTTAAATACAGGAGATAATACACGTCTAAATCCACATAATGGTAACTTCTCAGCAATCGATTTATCATTCTCCAACTCAGCATTAGCCCACCGAATTTCTTGGACAGTCGACTCTGAAATCTACAGCAGCGACCACATACCTATTTACATCTCAATCATACCAAGGAAAAGCGACCCAAAACACAACACCGGAACAAGATGGAATTTAAAACACCCAAACTGGCAACTGTACACCGACATAATAGAAAAAGAAATACAAATAAAAAACCCAATAATCAATAATTCAACACCAGAACAGCTAGTCGCATTTTTTACAAATTTAATTTTAAATACCGCCGGAAAAACAATTGGCAAAAGCACGAATAACAATAAACCCAAAGTACCATGGTGGAACGAAAAGATAAAAACCGCCATTAAACTAAAAAACACCGCACTCAACCACTGTAAAAAGACTAAAAATCCCAACGATTTCATCGTTTTTAAAAAACTCAGAGCCCATACCAAATATTTAATAAAAAGCAGCAAAACAAACTCTTGGCACGATTTCACATCAAACCTAAACTTGAAAGTGGACCCACCCAGCGTCTGGAATAAAATAAAATCATTAAAAGGATTAAAACGTAGTAACCAAATAAACATACTCAACAATGAAACCATAGTCTCACAACAAGAAGCAGCAAAGCAACTAGGAGAATACTTCCAAAAAAATAGTAGCAGCTCAAACTATACCACCGAATTTAAAAATAAAAAACTCCAAGCCGAAAATACACCAATCCACTCAAAAATAAACCCAAATATTCCGCAACAAATACAACTCAACGAAGATATTACAATCAATGAAATACTTCACGCCTTATCTAAGAGTAAAAACAAAAGTGCCGGCCCCGACGGAATACCATACTCGTTTATCCAACACCTCCCACCCAACGGAAAACTTCTCCTATGTCACATCTACAACAAAATCTGGAAAAACAATTTCTTTCCCAACAACTGGCGAAATTGCATAATAATCCCTCTACTGAAACCAAATAAAAATAAATTTCAAGTAGACAGCTACAGACCAATCTCCCTCATAAACAATATTAGCAAAATTCTAGAAAAAATAATAAACTCAAGGTTAATATGGTACATAGAAAAAACAAACTACCTATCAAATTTCCAAAACGGGTTTCGGAAAAACAAATCTACAATCGTCAGCCTAGGATATATCCAAACCGAAATAAATAAAGCGTTCTCCAATAATCAGTCTATGAGTCTCATAAGCCTCGACATAGAAAAAGCTTACGACCGCACTTGGAAACACAGTATCATATCGAAACTAAGCAAAATACTATGCCACGGTAACCTACTCAACTACATTAAAAATTTTTTACAAACTAGAACATTCCAAGTAAAACTAGGCAACACAACTTCCGAGACCTTTTGTCAAGAAAATGGAATCCCACAAGGATCTAGCCTATCAACCACATTGTTTTTAGTAGCCATAAACGATATATCCAACACCATAAGTGGACCCATCAAATACACTCTCTTTGCAGACGACTTAAATATTTTTTACAGGAGCAAACAAACAAACACAATACAAAATCTACTTCAAGAAACTATAAATAACCTCACAAAATGGTCTTCAGAAACCGGCTTCAATTTTTCACCCAATAAATCACAAAGCATCTGTTTCACAAAAAAAAAGAAACCAAAATCTACCAACCTTTAAAATAAACGAGCACCCAATACCTAACAAAAACACAATCAAAATTCTAGGCGTCACATTCGACACAAAACTATCATGGTTACCACATTTAAAAAACATTAAAAAAGACACATCACAAAGAACAAACATCATAAAAATACTCGCACATACAACATGGGGATCCAAAAGCAAACTACTAATACAATTATATAAAGCACTTATCCGATCAAAATTAGAATACGGTGCTGAACTATACCTTTCAGCCAAAAACACGGCCCTAAAAACAATAGACCCAATACACAATACCTGCCTGCGCCTAGCCATCGGCGCCTTCAAATCCAGCCCAATAGAAAGTATCTATATAATAGCAAGCGAACCTCCCCTATGGATCCGAAGAATACAAATAGCACTACTCTTCGCCGCAAGACTAACCAGAAACAACGCCGAAACACTAATTCCCGAACACATCAAACAAATCATCAACAAATACAATTTAGATTTTTCAAATATATTGAAAAACACAATCATACAAACTCCCCCATGGTCAACTAAAATCAACATAAACACTGAAATAGCAGTAAATAAAAAAAAGAAACCACTCCAGAAATTTATAAAAATCTATTCCGCGAACTCAAAAATAACCTATCAGGTCAAGACATTTATACCGACGCCTCTAAAAGCGAACAAGGAGTAGGAATAGCAATCATTATAGACGAAGAAATAATAACATATAAACTACAAAAAAAATGCTCCATCTATACCGCCGAAGCTATCGCCATATCATCAGCTCTCAAACATATCGAAAACAACCCACACCAAAATTTCAATATATTCACCGACTCCCTAAGCACCATCAACAGTATCCAAAATATATTCCAAACCAACGACATTGCTACTAACATCATTAACCAAATCGAAAATCTAAAACACCAAAACAAAAATGTCCAAATAATTTGGACACCAGGACATTGCGAAATCCACGGGAACGACCTAGCCGACCAACACGCAAAAAATGCAATAACATCTGAAGCTCCCAAACAAAAATACAACACAATATTAGACACAAAAAAACACATAAAAACAATCACACAAAATATATGGCAAAATCACTGGCTAAACCAAAACACAAAATTACGTGAAATAAAACAAAATATAAATCCCTGGCCACAACACGAAACATCAAGAAAAACAGAAATAATAATAAACCGACTAAGAATCGGACACAGCCACATCACACACGGACACCTAATGAAGAACCAACCACCAACAGAATGCACCACATGCGGAGTTACCCTCACAATAAAACACATTATAACTGAATGCCGATCAACCGAAGAAGCAAGAGAAAAACTCGACATACAAGCCAACATGTACGAAGCAATAGGACCTGACTGTCAACCCGAGAGAATCATAACATTCCTAAAGAACACCGGAATAGAAAAATGTATTTAAACATAATATTTAGTCATAAGTAACAATTCCCCCCCCCCTAATTATTGTAATCAAATTGTAAGCCAAAAATTAAAAAGACATTAACAAAATTATGTAAAAAGCTAATGGCCTATGCCGCCGAAGCTATACAAAGATCAATAAAAAAAAAAAAAAAAAATATATTGTTTATGAAACAGACAAAACACTTTGTTCTATATCAGAAGAAATACAATTTAAACAAATGTATTGTACAGTTGTTCATACTATAATATATAGTATAATATTTATTTTATATAATATAAATATAATAATTCATGTTTGATAAATATTAATATTTATTTTTATAATATTGAAGAATATAACGTATTTTAAAAAATGATGCATAAAACGTTGTCAACATTATTAAAACAATTATTGAAATTCTAAAATTAATTGATTTCTAAGATCTCATAGTAGTTTCAAATATCCGTAGCTTAGACGCTTAGTATTAACTTAAAATACCAACATGTTAAATTTACTACAGATTTACGTAAATAATTATATCGTATTCTAGTTTTTACTAAAAAAAGGTATTCCTTTAATTTAATTCTTTTGTAAGGCCTAATTTGAATACAATGACACAATTAAAATGGTCTATAAAAATTAATTAGCACAACTTAAGTACACCAAGGATTTATTTATATATTTTTAATGTAGTTTTACTTCAAGCTCAACATTTCTTCCGGAATGCAAAATTCAAAATTTTTTAAGAAAAACTTATTATTTTTATTTTGATATTTAATAACTACTTTAACATTTTTATATTTGGGTAATAATAAAGTTTAAATTCCAAACGCGATCCGTTCGTGTCTAATGTTTTACATTGATAACTTTTAATTTCCTACAATTATTTTTTAAGTTCTTCACACTGCTGAATCTGAAATTAAATCATCTTTCAATTAATTAAAGTGCGGTCTATTTACAATATTCAGCATTTCAGCGTATCGTAAAACTAAGCGAAAAACTTGTAATTTTAATTAGTTAACAAACTATAATATTGTGTAACACTGTGGTGAACCAGTGAGAGTTTACAAATATGAATACGGTGACCCGTTTAAACTCAACAGAGTTAAACAAAAATAAGCTAAAACAATTTAAGAAAAACCTCACAGAGTATAAGTGTGCAGCAATGAGGACCACCCGACAAACTACAAAGGATGTAAAGTATGCGAGGAACTTAACGTCATCACAATAATTTTAACAAATAAGCAAAATACCTATGCTATATAATATGGAAAATAATAAAAATAACAATAATTTTGTAAGCTCCCTGCAGTATCTA